GGTGTAAATCTTTACGGGAGTAGAAAGCCTCATCTTTCTCCCGCGGAGCGGCTGGTAGTTTCGAACCGCTGACCTTAAGGTTCGCAGCCCGATTCGTACCTGGAAACTGAGCCAGTGACAATTTTGAAAGTACTTTTCTTAGAAAATGTTAATGGATATAAAGTTTACTGTGTGAAGTAAGCTGCCAGGTACAGTCTGGGTTTGACACACGTTGGCAATATGCTTTGACGGGACAGGGCACAGTTTGAATGATACAACACTAAGATCCTAGAGCAGGTGTGGGGAATCTTTTTTTGCCCAGAGCCATTTGAATATTTGCAACATTATTTGTGGACCATTACAAAATTATCAACTTAAAAATTAGCCTACTATATTTATTGAAACATTTTATTAGCCTACTCCCAATGGGAGTCCTGATATGGCACTGTGGGCTAATGCACTGGACTGCAAGGTTGGGTTAAAGTTGGTTGTTCAAACTCACCAGCTGCTTGCTTCTTGGAAACCCTATACAGGGTGTGACTATGGGTCAGAACTGACTTGACTGCACTAAACAACAACAACAACAACGTCATGGCTGGAGATGGGGATGCCTTGGCAGGGCCAGACCAAATGATTTCATGGGCCTATCTGTGGCCTGTGGGGCCGGATGTTCCCTACCCTTGTCCTAGAGTAAAGAGGCAGAAGATGGGGCAAGGATTTCTGGATGTTTTAATCTTCAGCTTTTTCCAGAGCAAGTTAGCTAATTTTAAAATGTTGATAAAATGCTCTCATTTACAAAACCCATTAGAATACTGACATTCGTAAGGAGATGATAATATCTACCTAGATTAGCTATAAGTATTAAGTGATCTGGGAAGCACTTTACTAACACGTTAGAGAAGGTTTTCAGTGAGTACTGCTCTTGTAGCCAAAAAATCAAGATCTTACATTTCAGTTTCATGGACTTGTGTCCTTGACCAAAGACAGAGGCCAGCGAAGTCAGATTTTTGCCTTTATTACACAATGATCATGTTCCTTTGATACCTTTTACTGGCATTTGGTCCTTTAAATTGCTTCTGTTATTAAAAGTTGTTGAATTTTTTTTTTTTAACCTGTCATAGTAGCAAAAATCAAAGAGTAGGTAGGACAAAGTATGCTGAGGGCACAGGGAATCCACTCTGTTATTTTGCATAAATTAGCTTAACCTCTTAAAAAATTAAAAATCCACAGACTGTTTCAAAAATTACAATTTAAGAGTTCTTCCATTTATATTTGCAAATGTGCAAAAAGACATATTTATAGCACTCATTCATTACAGCTTTGTTTGTGGAAAGCAAAGATTGAAAATAACCTCAGCAGACTAGCTCAGTCAATCATGGCGTGCTGATGAAGTGAGTGGGTTTTACGGTTTTCTTTAAGAGGGGGCGTAGCTGGTTTATATCCGTGGCAGTATGGGTCATTCTCGGTGATGTGATGCTAAATTTGAAAAAAAAAAAGATAAGATGCAGACCACTGTGTTTGTATAAAATACCTCTGAAATGATTTAAACAGCAAAAAGGCTTTTCTTGTCTTGAGGGAGGGGTGGGGTGAGGATTAGGGATGATTTCTCTGTAAGCTTTCCTGTGCTTTTTGAATATTTTATTGTTCTGTAATTTACCTTTAAATTTTTTTGTTTAAAATAATGTGCAGAAGTTTAAGACAAATACAATGATGTGAAGGTTTATTACAGATGAGGGGATATGCTTCTTCTGGTCTTTCCAGGTACCAGCCTGCCTTTCCTCTGTATTATATTCTTCAGGTATTTGAGTACAGCATCCCAGACAAGCAGTATACAGAGTGGAGCCGGACCATTCAGAAGCATGGGTTTCATCACCTTTGGCTCCAAAGGGATACTCCCATCACACACATCAGTTTTCATCCCAAAAGACCAATGCACATCCTTCTCCATGATGCCTATATGTTCTGCATCATTGACAAGTCATTGGTGAGTTTTTCACCACTACTACGTAGCCATGCCTCACTGAATCTCCTCTACTTAAGAACCTTAAAGTACTAAAGTAACAGGGACAGTAAAATAGAAGAAGGAGAATTTGAATAATTGCTTCTGGTGTATTCTATGGAGGAAGAGAAGCTTTTGTTGCATACATTTCTTCTTTTGCGTTCCTACACTCTTGAGGCTCTCAGAAAGGGGAGAGATTTGTTTAGGTTTTTGGTCACTTGACTATTTCTCTACTTTGGCTATGAACAAATAAACTTCAGTGGGAAAGTGATTAGCTTGTTGAACTTCTTAGGGTAGTAACACTGATTTGGCTCAGTCACGTTCAGCTTTGCACTCCAGCTTGATGTGTCTGTGAAGTTTCATTAGATATATGCATTGAGGTTTTAACCACTTGTTATCTTTGATTAAATATACTGAACACTATCTGCAGGCTCTACCACTCATCTGTCAGTGTCTGTTACTGTGGTGACTTGTGTTGTGCTGTGATGCTGGAAGCTATACCACTGATACTTTAAATAACAGGGGCACTCGTGGTAGAGAGGACTAAGACTAGACTATGATAGACTAGAAAGGAAGAGAGACGGAATGTTTAGCCACTGAAAACTTTATGAATAACAGTGAAACACTGTCAGATATTGTATCAGACAATGAGAACATTACAAATAAATAGCAGCAGAAATTTATCAGATACAGTACTGGAAGATGAGCCCTCAGGTTGGAAGGCATTCACAAATACAACTGGGGAAGAGCTGTTTCCTCAAAGTAGAGTTGACTCTAATGATGTGAATGGAACAAAGCTTTTGGGACCTTGGTTTGCTGATGGAGCACAATTCAAAATTAGAAACGGCTGCAAACATCCATTAATAATTGAAACATGGAATGTACAAAGTAGGAATCTAGGAAAGTTGGAAGTTGTCAAAATGAAATTAAATGCATAAAGATAGATATCCTAAAACTGAAATGGACTGCCATTGGCTATTTAGATAATCATATGGTTTACTATGCAAGGATCATCAAATTGAACAGGAATGTTGCTGCATTCATCATCAGAAAGAACATTTCAAGATGTATCTTGACGTACAATGTTGTCTATGAGAAAATAATATCCATATGCCTACAAAGAATACCATTATAATTCGGATTTACACACCAACCACTGAAGCCAGTGATGATGAAATTGAAGAATTCTATCAACTTCTTTAGTCAGAAATTGATCAGTCATGCTGTCAAGATACATTGAAAACTACTGGTGATTGGAATGTAGAAGCTGCAAACAGTGTAGAACCTGCAATTGTTGTAATTGTTTTCTAGTTGATTCTGACTCTTAGTGACCCTGTATAGGGCTACTGAGGAGTGAGTGGTGGGTTTGAACCGCCAACCTTGCTGTTCAAACAGACCTTGTGATCTAGTGCTTTATCCTACAGTGCCATGCCAGAACTCCCAAGAGAAAGTATTATTGTTAAGTGCCATTAGTTGGTTCCAACTCATAGCGACCCTTTATAGGGTTTCCAAGGAGTGACTAGTAAGTTTAAGCCATCGACCTTGTGGTTTAAACCTACCTTATGGTTGAATGCTCAGCCTCATGTACCATATGAGGTAGTTGGAAAATATGGCCTTGGTATAGAAATGATGCTGGAGGTTGCCTGATAAAAATTTGTTAAGACCCAACAACTTACTCATTGTAAATACCATTTGTAAACAACAATTTATATGTGGACCTCACCAGATGTAATACACTAGAATCAATTTGACTGCATATGTGTAAAGAGACAGTAGAGAAGCTCAATGTTATCAGCCAAATAAGGACCGAGGCAGACAAACCATCAATTGCTCATACACATTGAGGATGAAGAAAATGAAAACAAGTCCACATGAGCCAAAATATGATCTTGACTATATTTCTCACATTTAGACACCATTTTAAAAACAGTTACGATGTGTTAGACAATAATGAGTAAAGACCAGGTTTGTGGGGTGACATCATATCGAAGAAAGCAAAAGATTGAAAAGAAAGAAAGACAAAATGGATATCAGAAGAGACTCTGAAAATTGTTCTTGAGCATAGAGAAGCTAGAGTGAATGAAACAATGAAGTAAAAGCTGAACAGAAAATTCAAAGAGTAATTTGAGAGGCAGAGTCAAGTATTATAATGAAATGTGCGAAAACCTGGAGTTAGAAAACAGAAAGGGAGAACATGATCAGAGTTTCTCGTAGATCTATACCAAATAGAGGAATTGCTGGATCATAAGGTATTTCTATTTCCAACTTTCTGAGGAAGCACCATATTGTTTTCCAGAGTGATTGGACCATTTTGCATTCCCACTAGCAATTTGGGAGGGTCCCAGTCCACATCCACGCCAGCATTTATTGTCCTCTACTTTTTTTGAACTTCGCTGTTATTGCTGGTGTGAAGCGATATCTCATTGTTGTTTTCATTTGCATCTCTCTAATGGCTAATGATCATGAACATTTCTCCATATGTTCGTTGGCTGCCTGAATCTCTTCCTTGGTGAAGTATTTGTTCATGTCCTGCCCATTTTTTAATTGGGTTATTTGGCTTTTTCTTGTAGAGGTGTTGTGGTTTCCTATACATTTTAGAATTTAGTCCCTTGTCTGATACATTGTTGCAAAAGATTTTTTTCCCATTCTATGGGCTCCCTGTTTTACTCTTTTGCTGAAATCTTTTGATGCACATAAATTTAAATTTTTTAGTATGTCCCAGTGATCTGTTTTGCCTTGTTTATGCAATTTTCATAATGTTCGGTAATCTGTGTGTGTCATGTAGTTGTTGTTATGTGCCGTGGAGTCGGTTTCAACTCATAGCGACCCTGTACAGGGTTTCTGAGGCTGTACAACTTTACAGGAACAGAAAGCCTCATCTTTCTCCCATGGAACAGCTGGTAGTTTTGAACTGCTGACCCTGAGGTTAGCAGCCCAATTCATAACCACTACGCTACCAGAGCCCTATAGTCGTCGTTGTTGTGATGTGCTGTAGAGTCGGTTCCGCTCATAGTGATCCTGTACAGGGTTTCCAAGGCTGCAAATCTTTACGGGAGCAGAAAGCCTCCTCTTTCTCCCTTGGAAGTTTCTGGTAGTTTCGAACTGCTGACCTTGCAGTTTGCAGCCCTACAGTGCTGTAGATTCGTAACCACTACACTACAAATTTGTCTCTATTTTTTCTTTGATGACCTTTATAATTCTGGGATTCACATTTAGGTCTTTAATCCATGCTGAGTCCCCAGTCGCTTCATCACTCCATGTCATCATCTCTGTCTCCATCTCAGGCATCTCTGTTTTCTGGGCAGGGTCCCACTCTCGGCTCTTCTCTGTTGATGGTCCCAGAGGCCTCCGCTCCTATCTTGGAGAATTAATCACTCCCTTCCTTGTTATAAAACTTCTACCTTTGCATTTCCAACCCTCATAATCCGTCCTGATAAGCATTATTCACTACAGTATCACGAGTTACCCATCTGTATCTCCTTTCATC